AGTCCTTCTTGTAGAGCTTGTCGCTCTGGATCTTAGCCACCTGCATGTAGTGAACCAGGAGGGGGTCGTCCTGCAGGCTGCGGAAACCAACATGGCGACCTTTTGCCTTCTCGTAGGCCAGCTTGTACTTGTACTGTTTAACACAAAACATACAAAAACATTATTTTAAATGCATTAACCTTTACCTAATGTTAATACAATCCTGACTTACATTACTGGCAATGTCTCTTGAAGACTTTGCAGCAACAACAGGTATTGAATCTTCCTTCACATGGTGTCCTTTGAGCAGATCTTTGCGATGAGCATAGGTGTAATAATTCTGGATAAAAACACAGATATACATTTCACAAATATAGTAGCACGTATTTTTTAGTGATTTTATGTGTATATACATTATGAAAGCTTGCCACTGACCTGGCTGATGTTGGCAGCATTGTATCTGGCCTGCATCAGTTCAGGGGCATCAGGTGGGAGGTGATAAGTGTGCATGAACTTCTCTCCACTAGCTTTATAATCTTTCTGCATGATTGAAATAAAGAGATAGATTTATGTATTTTTATAGGTCATATACTAATGATTTTCTTTTTGATAAACATGTTTCTGTCCTCACCACATTCAGTATCTTGGCATTGGTCTTTGCCAGCTCCATGCTCATAGAGTCAGGAGCACAGGTGAATTTGAATGTTGAAGGGTGCTGTCGGTACTTTCTCTCATCCAGAGCTGCCGCTGCCGCCTTCGCTTTTTCCACATCCAGCGAACCAATAGGAACCCAACCAATTCCCTTCATGCCGGTCTCATAATCCATTTTATAATTAACCTGTAAAATAAGAAATCCCAAAAGAATTACTGGATAAATAAACGCCATTTAAAAAAATAATGCATTTACAGACATTAGGTCACAGATTTCTGTAAAACTTACATCACTGGAGTTGAAGTTCATGTTGCGAGCCAGCTGGAGACCCATTGCYTCAGGCAGAAGACAATAAGTATGATGATGTTGCTTGTAGCCAGCGTAGGTCTGCACTTTGGAGGCGTGTTTAGCATGAGCAACACTCAGCATGTCCACTGGAGAGTGATACTTCAGCTTGATCTTGTGGTAGTCCTTCTTGTAGAGCTTGTCGCTCTGGATCTTAGCCACCTGCATGTAGTGAACCAGGAGGGGGTCGTCCTGCAGGCTGCGGAAACCAACATGCTGGCCTCGCGCCTTCTCATAAGCCTTTTTGTACTGGACCTAGGAATAAAAGCACATAGAGACATGTGTAATGCAGAAAAAGACAAGTACATTGAGTATATCGTGTGGATTAAGACTCATTAAGAGGACTTACATTGCTGACAGCATGTCTGGCTGCTTTGGCTGCAACAACAGGGATAGCATCAGGCTTCAGGTCATAACCTTTAGCAATCAGCTCCTGCCAGGCATACTTGTAGTAGTTCTGCAATTACAAATTACAAACAAGAACAACATTACATATAAACAGTGATAAAAACATTTGTACGTTGCTTTTTTTTCTACAGACACACTTTTGCAGCTAGAGGATGTCAGTGACCTAACACACAGCACATAGGTCATAGGTCCTCGCGCTGAGGCTGCACTGCGTGGGCGCGTCCCCCAGGTAGTGGATGGGGGATCCCTGCTATGCAGGGGTGTGCCTGGATAAGCTGAAAGGCGAATAGGGTGCCTATGTGCAACGAATGGCCTGCCTGAGCATCACAGGTTCCATCAGAACAACACCAACGGCAGCCATGGAAGTCCTACTAGACCTGGCTCCACTAGATTTACATATCTTGGGGGAAGCCGCATCCAGTGCAGTAAGGCTGCGCCAGGCTGGTAGGTGGAAAAGCCTATCTGACTCACAGCATACTAGAATCTGGGACTGGGCAGTTGCTGCTGTTCCAGTAACTGCAGGCCCCAGAGACAGAATAGTTAAAAAAACACAATTTTGAACCAAGTTTTAAGACAGAGATTGAAGATAGGTCAGCCTGGAGTAATTTCTCTATGGTGGACCTGTCTCCAAATTATTTCTACTGCTTTACWGACGGATCCCTTATAAAGGGGTCAGCAGGTGCAGGGATGCTGATTCTGCACAACCACAGTGAGAAAGAGTACAGTTACCCACTAGGCGGTTTTGTAAAGGTATCTCAAGCTGAGATATATGCAATCCATCAGTGTGCGGCATCTCTCAAAGAACTTCAGTGTATGCAGAAGGAAATATTCATCCTGACAGATAGCCAAGCTGCTACTGTATTAAAGCTCTCCAAGCGCAACACTTTACGTCACTACTGGCTTGGAAGTGTGCCGAAGCAGTCAACCAACTGGGGAGAGTGAACAGTGTTACTGTTAAATGGGTACCAGGACATACTGGCATCTATGGTAACCAGAAAGCTGACCACCTTGCAAGAGCTGGCAGTCAGGCCCACTTTAAAGGACCAGAGCCTGCTATGGGCYTTTCAHCAACAATCTGCAGGACRGCCCTACAGGCATGGARCAGACGTCAACACTCAATCCACTGGAGGGAGCTGATGGACTGTAGACAGGCACGAGAACTGATAAATGGRCCAAATCCTTGTTTTGGAAGAGCCCTTCTTGCCCTGACAAGSAAAACTTTAACTACWTTGGTTGGAGTCCTAACTGGGCACAACTTGCTCAACCGCCATAAAATGGTGATGGGACTCCATGAAAATGGTTGTGTGATGCCTGTGCCATTGAATCAGAGACCTCTTTGCACTACTTGGGCCAATGCTTGGCTCTGAGTAATCAAAGGGATCCTGAGAAGCTCAAAACACTGAGTGTTTCTAACCTGGTGTCCTTCTTTCGAGGGATGCGAAGGTTTGATTAAAAGCTCAGTGTCTCTTTTGGGAAGAGTAATGGGCCCACTTATGAGGCCTCCGCTGGCATGGGTTTCACCCATCCCCATATACCAAAACCATAACCATAGGTCTTGAAAGTCACCTTCAGGTAAAAATGGATTTAAATTTCAAACATTCACATTGAAAAAAGGCTATAAAATTAGTATTTTATATTTCAGAAACTTCTCGGTGTCTGTGTTGGTGTGTGTCACCTGGCTGATGTTGTAGGCGTTACACTTGGCCTGGAGGAACTCTGGGACATCAGGAGGCAGAGAGTACTTTTGATGAATCTCCTCAAGACCCCTCTTATAGAACAGCTGTGAAATTATATGAGATAAGTTCAGATCAAAGAAAAAAGAAAACATATATAAAATCCTAAAGAGACTCTTTGAAAAGATGCTGAACGGCTGTGCGTTGTGATGACAGTGGACTCACATCACTCCTCTGAAGCTGGTTGACTTTGGCCTGAAGCATTATGGGGTGGTCATCAATAGCTGTAAACGGGATGGTGTCTGGGTGCTGTCTGTACTTTTTCTGAAAGAAACAAAAACACACAGGTGAAATACTTCAGGTACTCCTATATCTGACCTCTTTCAATGCTTAGACAGCTTACAGACTCAGATAACCCAGTCTCACACACCTCATTGAGGATCTCAGCAGCTTTCTTTGCCTTTTCCACCTCCATGGAGCCATAGGGAATCCATGGAGTTCCCTTGACGTAGTTGTTGTAGTCAGACTTGTAATCATTCTTTGATGAAGAAAATATGGGAATACATAGAAAGTTATTATAAAAACCATGACACAGATGACTTGAAAATAAAGAGRGGTCTGTTAATTCGTACATCACTCTGGATGATGTTGGATTTCTTGGCCGTGTCCAGCAGCACACTGTCAGGAGGAAGGAAGAAGTTGGTGCTGATGCTCCTGTACCCGCGCATGCTGGCAATAGCCTGAGATTTCTTGGCCAAGGTGACTGATATCATATCAAGTGGTGTATGGTACTTGGTCTTTATTTTTTCATAGTTCTTCTTYTACTCGCGCTGTTGACGTATCAAAAGAAATGTTGTTAAAGTTATRCTGCTGCTTTTTTTCAGCKCATTAAAGAAGAAACTATCCGAGTTTATAGACTTACATCACTTTGGATTTTGGCCACATGAACGGAGTGCAGGATCTTTGGATCGTCGTTGATGCTGAGGGCTCCAACCATCTGGCCCTTGTTCTTCTCATACTCCTTTTTATACTTAACCTGGGAAAATGACCAATTATTTAGACTTAATTAGTAAACAAACTAWCTAAAACACACACACCAAGGATGATACTGTAGCATACTTACATCACTGGCAATGTTTGTGTGAGCACGAGCAGCTAGGATTGAAATGGTATCACCCTTGATTTCAAACTTCTTGGCTTTAGTTTTCTCCCAGTCGTACTTATAGCAGTTCTGTAAGGAGGATATTTAATTTTAAAAATACTTGGATGGAATTTTAAATGAGAATTGGTCAAATATCAAAGACTGATAGGAACCAGCAGTGACTCACATCACTCAGGTTAAAAGCGTTGACTCTGGACTGGATGAAGAAGGGATAGTCTGGTGGGAGACTATACTTAGTCTTGGTTTCCTCATGTTTCGCCTTGTAGTTTAACTGCAAAAGAAACATATAATTGACTTAAAAAACTCTTTTAATAATGTGTTAACTGTTAACAACAGTATTCTTTTTGAAAAGTTAAARAAATATGGTATTAGAGGACCTGCATTACAGTGGGTATCTAGTTATTTGGAAGATAGAAAACAATTTGTAGTAATAAATAATGTAAGATCTGAGTTTTGTAACATCTCATGTGGAGTGCCGCAGGGTTCCATTCTCGGACCTAAGTTATTTATTTTGTATGTGAACGATTTGGTCAATGTGTCGGGACTTTTTGGGTGTGTTCTATTTGCAGATGATACAACATTCTTTTGTTCAGGTAAAAATATAAAACAAATGTTGGACATGATACAGACAGAATTTGTGAAAATACAAAGTTGGTTTCAACTAAATAAATCATCATTAAACTTGGACAACATAAATTATATGATTTTCTGTAACAATAAGAGAACTATAGATGTTTTATTTAAAATTAATGATGTAGAGATCTGTAGAGTCAGTGAAGTGAAGTTTCTAGGTGTCATTATTGATGAAAAACTTACATGAAAAAATCATATAAATGGTTTAACAAAAATAGTCAAATCTATTGGAGTCCTGTACAA